AAATATAAGAAAATGGAAATAAAGTGATTGTAATTGGGGAGGGGAGAAGGAGGTGAAGGGAGGGCAGGGTTATGGGGAAAAAATGAGAACCAAGGCCTGTTGTAAAGGTACAAGATCCCAATAATGAATGTAACTGTACTGTATACCTCCAATGCACCAATAAATTCAATTAAAAATAAATAAATAAATAAAACTCTGAAAGAAGTAGCCTGTCAGCCAAGAAAACTGTGCCCAGAAAGACTACTCTTCAAAAAAGATAAAGATTTTCCTCAAAAACTAATAGTTTCTTACAACTAGAACTGCTTTATTAAAAAATGTCAAAAGCAATATGACATCTTAAGGCATATTTCTAGGAGAAATCTTTTCTACCTATTAAAATTGATATAAGCAACTGATCAGTAGAGACAAAAATATCAATGTAGTGATGCAAAAGCAAAGTAAATTGATACTTTCATCAGAAAAAAATAGCTATACTAACAGACCCCAGAAAAAGTAAAATTGACTAACTGCCTGAGAAAGAATTCATAATAATGATGTTGATAAAACTCAAAGAGATTGAAATTCAAAATAATATTTTGAGTTGATTAAAATTCAAAATAATGCAACAAAATTAGGAAACTAATTTATGATCTGTGTGAGAAATTCAGCACAGAGGAAGATATTATTTTTTTTAAAAAATGCTTGAAGCCAAAGAATGAATGAAATGAGAAACCCAGATAAAAGACTCAATAATTCTAGATCAAGAAGAATTTCTGAGCTTGAGGATGGGTCTTTTGAAATAGGCCAGTCAAAGCAGCACACACAAAAGAAAGGAGCAATGTTTACAAGACTTTCAAGGCATCATTAAGCAAGCAAAATTTTGCATTATGAATATAAAGTAGGATTAGAGAAGGGAAAAGCCATAGAACATCTAGTTGATTAAAGGATAATGAAAACATTCAAGTAGTTGGAAATATATGGATATGCAATACAGAAAAGTAAAAATCTTCCAATTATATTATACTAATAAAATATCCTCCCTGAGGCACATTACAATAAAATTTAAAAAACACCAACAGAGAGAGAATTTAAAAAGAGTAAGAAAAAGGGTCATGTATCCTATAGGGAAATTCCATTAGAATAACAGCATATATCAGCATAAACCTTACAGAAGCAGGGAAGAGGATGATATATTCATATTCAGATAGAAAATATATGTCAGCCAATAATATTAGCCCTACTAAAGCTATCCTAAGCAAGGGGGAGAAATAAAGCTTTGCCAAGACAAGCAAAACCTGAGGAAATAAACACAAATAGACTGCTCTTACAGGAAATAATTAAGGGAGATCTACATCTAGAAGCAAACAGGTTATAACTAAATTCATAAAAACACACAAAAGAAGAAAACTCCATAGTAGAGCAGATATACAAAAGAGAAAGGACAAAATAATCAGTGTAAAACAATGTTTCACAATGTAAAACATCAACAAACCACAAAGAATAAAAAATGAGCTGTGAAGGAACAAAGGATGTATAAAACAATCAGAAAAAAATGACAAATGACAGAAGTATATTTTACAACATTAAGTAGAAATGGATTAATCCCACCAATAAAAATGCGGAATAACTGAATAGACTGAATAACAAAAACCAACACACACAGATTGAAAGAGAAAAAAATGAAAATAGATATTCCATGTAAAAAGAAACTAAAAGTAAGCAGCAGTAGATATATATAACTGGATAAAATACACATTAACTGAAATGCTGTAAAAAGGAAAAAAAAGGCAACTACATAATGATAAAGGGATCAATTCAGTAAGTGGTAATACAATTATAAATATTTATGTATTTGTAATACAATTATAAATATCTAATGCCAGAAGACCCAGTAAACAAACATTATTAGAACTGAGTGCACTCCAAAACAGCAACACTGAGGCTTTCAACCCCATTATCATCAATGACCATATTGTTCATACACACAAATCAATAAACAGAGATCAACTCTACTCTAGAACAAATATACACAACAGGCATTTACAGAACATTGCACTCAACATGTACATAACACATACATTTTTCATCAGCACATGGGATATTCCTCACAATGGACCACATTAAGCCAAAAAACAATCTTAGGAAATTTAGAAACATTAAAATCACACCATATATTTTATCTGACTACAATGAAATGAAGAACTTAGAAACTGTACAAACATATGATAATAAAGCAACATACATTTGTAAGCCATTGATTCAATGAAGATGTGCAAAGGGAAATTTTTTTCAATTTTCTTGAAACCAGTGAAGAGGAAAAAAAATCATATCAAAATCCGCAGGACACAGTAAAGAAATACAAAGAGGGAGCTTTATATCAATAAGTGCCTATAAAAAAGTGACAGATTTCAATAAACAGCCTAACAACGCAATGTACTGATCTAGAAAAATAAAAACATCCAAAACACAAATGTAGTGGTAGGAAATAAATAACAAAGATCAGAACAGAAAAAAATGGATACTAAAAAGCACAACACAAATAGTCAGTGGAAAAACAGTTTGGTTTTTTAAAAGACAAATACGATTTAAAAACCGTTACTAGAGTATCGAAGAAAAAAAGACAAAAAAATACAAATTTAACAATCAAAGATTAAAAAGGAGACATGACAACTTTTACTATAAAAATACAATAGATCTTTCAGGACTTTAATGAACAATCATATGCAACAAATTGAAAACCCTAAAAGAAACAGATCAATTTCTGGACACATAATCTACCAAATTTGAATCAGGAGCACCTAAAAACCTGAACAAGCCAATAATGATTAATGATACTTAATCCATAATAAGTCTCCCAACACAGAAAAATGCAAGACCACACACTGAATTTTACCCAAGCTTTAAAGAATGACTACTATCAACACTTCTCAAACTATACTAAACATTCAAAGACAGAGAACATTTTTAAACATATCTATCCACAGTAGAAGAGTTCAATACATTATCTTACATTTACCAAAGGAAGTTTATGTGACAGTGAAAATGAAAAAAATGAATGAAACATCAATAAATACTTGAATCTCACAAACAGCGCTGAACAAATAACAGGGAACACAGCTCAGTGGGAGAGCTACTGCTGAGAAGGAGAGAGGCTCTGGGTTCAATTCCCACCTCCACATTAAAACAAAAACAAAACAAAACAGAATGTGTGGCAGGTGACTTCATGTTCCTGAATTCAAGGAAACATTACAGAAAGTATAATATAGCAGCTAACCTTTGAGGAAAAGCCATCAGGAACCCATATACACTCCCAGTGGGAATGTAAATTAGTATAGCCACTATAGAAATGAAAAGGGAGTTTCCTCAAATAAACTAAAAATAGAACTACCATATGACCCAGATATATAACTCTGCAATATATTCCTGAAGAAATTAAGGTCAGCATACTAGAGGGTTACCTGTGCTTACTGTGGTACAATTCATAATATTCAAGACATAAAATGAGTCTGAGTTCCCAGGAATGAATGAATGAATGAATGAATGAATAAATGAATGAATGCAACATAGCAGAAATAAATGATTGAGGGCCAGGGATATAGCTCAGTGGTTCTGCCTCTGCCTCACAAGCTCAAAGTACAAAAAAGTATTTTGATCCAAAGTACAAAAAAAAAGCGTGGAATAAATAAATGAGTACTATTTAGCCATAGAAAAGAACAAAATTATGTCATTTGGCAGGAAAATGATGGAACTGGAGAGTATGTTATTGAGTGAAATAAGCCAAACTCAGAAAGACAAGTTTGCATGTTTTTCCTAATATATAGATTAGAAAAGAGAAAAGATAACATGAAAGTAGAGACTATCATCCGATAAGAATAAGGGAATATGGGTATAAGGGGAGGCTGTACATGATAGTACTGAAGAGATCGATATGCACTGAATGCATTACATGCATGTATGAAAATACCACATTGAAAATCAGAATTCAGTAAAATTAATAGTGACAAATAAACATATACTTCTAAAAGAAAAGCAATCAATAATTTCAACTGGTAACAGCAATATACTTTTTCATAGTGATAGTGAAAAAGTGTTCATCTTGTAATAATTTACTGATGTATACATTCATACTTGTTCATTTATGCTACCTGTGTGCTCATAGATAAAACAATATATGAGGTGAAAATTAAACTGCATGCCCCAAATAAAAGCAAATTGCAGAATATAATTTATGCTATTATCCCACTAGTATAAAAATTGTATGTGCATGTTTGGGAAATAAACATTAAAAACAAACTTCTAACTCTTAAGCTCTGAAATATGCAGATGAATTGGAATAAGGGTGGGTTTGAAGAAAGATTTCCACTATTTTCTGTCAATTTCTTACATCTACATTGTTTGAATCTTTGTACCTGGTGAATTATCTAAACAATAATAAATTAGGATGACTGGAAAAGGTAGAAAATGAAGAAGAAGAGGAAAGAAAGAAGAAAGGCAAGAGTTCCAGAAATATTATGGCCTTGCTTGCATACTTTTTTTTTTTTTCAATATGTGCTTGGAGCACCAGAGCACTTACCAGAAGGCTGAGGAAGGTGTCCCTAGGGGAATAGCCAGCCCTCAAGGTGCCCTGGTAGAAGGCAGGGCCCACATATTTCTCTGAAACAGGCCTCCAGGTAGCAGAGCGGAGTCTGGGGAGAGGGCCAGAACATGAGAGAGTGGACAGTCCTTCCCACCATCTCTAGTCCCATCATGGACCCCAGCTTTAGCCCCCCACCCACCCAGGGACCAGGATTCTGTAGCAGTGAGATATTTTACACTGGGAGTATCAAAGTGGGAATCAGGAGACTTGTTCTAACTTCTAGTCCCAATACAAAGGACCTGACAGCCCAAGACAAATTTCTACACTTCTCTGACTCTTGGGCTCTTCATATGCAAAGTGGAGTCTGAAATCTCTCAGTTCCCAAATGCTATGCTTGGGGTGTGGTTTCAGTTTGTGCCTCAAAGTTTTGTGTCAGGCAAGCTTGGGCCCTAGCACGGTGGTATTGAGGTGGTAAAACTGTTAAGAGATGGAAAGTGGACATGACGAGATCACCGTGTTATCACTCCCATAGGGATTCACTCTGTTCTTGGAAGACGGTAAGTAATCATGGGAGCGGATTATTACAGGAAGGCCTCCCCAGTATGCTCAGCCCTTCTATACACACCTGCCATTGATGCCATTCTCCATGAGGCCCTCATCAAAGCAAAACAGATGCCGCACCAGGTCCTTCAATTCAAGGACTCAGAGCTAAATGAAACTGTTTTATTCTCAAAGCTCCTAGAACCAGGTATTTTGTTATGCCATCATAAAAATGAACCAAGATATGTGGTCTCACAAAGTCTTCACTGGGAGTGGGAGGCACACACCTCTCAAAGAAGCTCATCTTCATCTCCAAAGAGTAGATGGTGAACCCCTTCAGATAAACACCATCGATGCAGACAGAGTGCACTAATCCTGAAGATGGGAAGAAGGAAGGAGAATAGGAGCAAAGAACAGAAGCATACTCAGGTGTCAGCTGGGAGGGATGCAGATGTATGTGGCCCGTGACAAGGCCCCAGATCTGCTTTCTTCTATGTTTCCATGCTACCAAAAATGTTCTCCACTTCACACTGGAACTTTCCCAAATTCCAATAAAGAGATTGAGCCCTTCTCCAAACAAATGAGCACCAAGCAGACTCACTCTTCTTCCCTTCCCTGAAGACAAGACACATTAGCTCAAGGGATAGGGAAGGGGATAGCATCTTTGGTTGCTGAATCTGGGTATCCCACTGCTGAGGGGCTCAATGTAGCTCTCACAACCCCACAACAGCTACAACTATGGATATGAAGTAACTGAAGAAAAATATTGACAGGTTCTCCACTCTGTTAGGGTTCATAGGAAGAATGTGCCCAAAAGGCATCACACACCCATAGCAGGGCTTTGTGAAGAGGAGTGGACCACGGAAGCACTACAGATGACTTGCAGTCAGGGCCTAGATAAGAGAAGCAGCTCACTGTGGTCCTGACCCAGAACAGGGGGGTGTATCTTCTGCTCTGGTGCCACCCTTCTCTCTCAGTTGCTTCCTAGTCACCAAGACATGAGCAGCTTTCCTCCACTGGTCCTTCCCCAGGATTCTGGTTTGGAGCCAACTGACTACAAACTGAAACCCTACAAACTGTGAGCCAAAAGAAACTTCTCCTCCCTTAAGTTATGGGTATCAGGTATTTATTTGTCCTAGGAATGAGAAAGTGACTAAAAGTAGCCCAAAGCTCACCTTTCCGCTCATCTTGAATTTTCCATGAAAAATCAATTCGTCCTTGGTTCTCCACAAGGATCCTCAGAAGTCCACAGCCCTGTTGGAGACAGACCAACTCATGGGGCTCTTAGTGGCCAGGTAGAGTCTCTACTTTGGAACACATTTTTCCTCCAGGTCCCAGAAGGAAAAACAAGCAAATGGAGTGAAATTGGCTCCATAGTCCCCAGTGCTTGTTTAGTTGTGAAGAATATGCAGTCCTATTCCATACTCAACCTGCCCTTTCTTTTCTGCTGGTCCCAGTAGGTAAGGCTGCAATTCTCTAGGGTCTGAGACAAGAGACCCAAACAGGAGCTTGACTCAATAGACAAGGCATACTAATAGTATAAGTCCCAATATAAGATATGCTGCTAATCCTAGGCACCAGGAATTGAGAGATGCCTTGTGATTAAAGCCCTACATACTTCCTGTTGCAGCCTTATTTGAGGTTCAATACCACAGGAAATGGGAGGGAAAGAGATGGTCTGTTTCAGACCAAGCTATGTTTGTTTTTTTGAAGGGGAGGTAAGAGGCATCACCATTAATCTGTAATGACATACCCTGAATGTGGGAATATCCAGGTTCCACATATCCTCATGCAGAAATCCTAACAGTGTCTCATTCAAAAACACCTGTGAAACAAAAGTCTGCATGACACTGGTAGATGCACCTGAAAATGGGGGAAGGAAGACTCTGACTGAGGTAGTAAGTCCTCTTTCTGAAGGTGGGGACTAGTTTTGGAGCTCACAGATGGTCAGAAGCTGACTGGGTGGTCCCTATAAATTTTAGGATGTGCTAAGGCAGAAAGTAATGCAACTACATTTGCTTTTATATCCCCAGTGACTTCTCCATAAATATTTTAAATGCCATCACATACTAAAGTAAACCAGTTACTAGCTAGTAACACAGTGAGGATCAACATGTGGCTCACCACCAGGGACACCTGCTGTCCCTTACCTGTGCTGTATCATAAACAGGAGCGTGGAGTTGACCTGCAGAGCAAATGGAAGTCTCATAGAGGACGAATCCAAAGGACTGACCACTGCCATTGTTCACTGGAAGATTCTCCATGTTGACTGGAATATGTAACCTCATGGGCTATGAGGGAGACATATCAAAGTGAGGAGAAGTCAAGATTTTTCTTTCTAAGACCCTTTTTGCTATTTGCTGAACCACCTAATGTTCCCAAAAGATCCTTTATGGAAAATCACAGGGCACATGTTACATGGCAAAGCTGTCATGCTTTGAGGCTCCAGTGTCTGGGAAACTTGGGGTGATAGGACATGGGGAAGAGGTCAGAATTGCCATAATCCACAAGAATCAACTTGAAGGGTTAACAAACTGTATTGCAAAATATCTGAGTGATTACCATGAGATGACTGTGCACTAATTTATCAATTATTGTGCATATGTCATGTGTTTGCTACCATATTCTATCTAAATTAGTGATATGGAAGTGAAACAATATGAATTCAAGAGTTTGATTTTACATAAGTTTCAGCACACCTTCAATAAAGGACATGTTGTCTCATTTTTAAATGGGAGAAGAAGCACATGAAATTCAGTGATTTGGCCTAGCTGAGAGAAGCCCAGTTTCATGGGCTGCTAGGTCAGAGCTTTTCCTTTATGAAACTATATGCTTCAAAGAGTCCCTCACAACTGCATTCACCAAAGGAGTCCATCTGCACTGGAAATAAGATCTTCTACTATCCTACACTTGCCTTCCCCCAAACATTTATTCTTCAACTTCAAACCTCTTCAAAAGCTACCCCCAAAGGAGCTCTAAGCTTGGACAGCATGCAGAGTATTATTTTTCACAACTCCCAGTAGTAAGTGGCTGAAGGCCTATGATCTTCTCCCACATCTCTCCAGTGACCAACCCTGCACCAGTGCCCAAGCAGTACCTACCTCACCTAAGTACTGTAGGACATCCCACAGTGGCAAGTATAGTGATGGTCTCACAGAAGGATACACTGTCTTGAGAGTGAGGTCAGGTAAGGGAGGCAGTGGAATTGCTGCAATGAAAATGGGTATCAGGCAAGAAGTGCTCCGTGAAGTCAGTCCATTTTTAACATGTCCCACCTGTTTTCAAGACCACTTGAGTGCCAAAGCCATGGGGTAATTCTCCCGGAATGATGATGACAGACATGATGTAGTAGGAGTCATTTAGCATCCACACATGCCTAATGGACACAGATCCATAGAGAAAAGGCTCTTAAGATGCTGGTGTTAGCTAGCTTTTAGCCATGAGCACAGGCTCACTGACTTTATTAATGAGGCAAAATTCAACAGGGTGAGTTTGCTGCTTGTATATGGAGTTTCAAAGTCGCACAAAGAACTAAGAGCTTTACAAAAGAGAAATTACTTAATATTCACTATCACATGGGAGGCTTGTATTGATATCTTCTTATTGCAGTGAAGAAGTTAAAGGCTTAGCAACATGCAAAACTGCCCAGTTTGAAGTGAGAAATCTAGGATTTGAACCTGAGCTTGTCCTCACTCTCAAAAGTTTTGTTAAGCTGCTGCTCAAAGAGAACTTTCCCTTTCCTCATTCATCCCCAGAACACAGATACCTCATGAAGGCAAACATCTCCACTCCAATGTGCGCTGAGTACCTGAAGCAGTTCCCAGGAGTTTTCGAAGCTTGAAATACTTTTCTGTGTAATCTCCAGCCTCTGTCAGCAAAGCGTCATAGTCTGCAAGACACCCAGGTCCTGTCACAGGTCACACAGCCCTCCATGGAAGGTCCTGCTTCAGCACTGTGGCAGGCATGACCCAGAGCCACCCAGAGTGAGACACCATGGAGACACATCCCCTGCCTCAGGAATGGCCCATCGCTGCCGGGCTGTGGGCATGGATGCAGTCTAAGAACATCCCCACACTCCTTCTGGGGACACTGGGCTCACCCTGTTAACTCATGTTCAGATGGACACTCTTGTCAGTCCTCACCTGGGACACCCAACTGTGCCCAGCTGTGCCTGACATCAGTCACCCCTAGGTCCTACACCTGCTAGAGGTTCAAGTCAGAGGACAGTGAACAATATGAGTGAGGAACAGCCCTCAGTCCCAGACAGCCCCAACTCCTGAGATGATGAACTCTGGGGCATCATGAATATCACAGGTAGAAGAAAGTGGACATAAAATCTTCAAGGCTCAGCACACATGATCGATCCGGACCCCCTGATAGTGGAAAGTGAGTCTAAAGGGGACCACAGTAGCCAACACTTGCCATAGCTTGTCACAACACCTATGTGTTTCTCATCAAAAGAGCCTGCTGCATTCATAAATCCAAAGTTTGTTCCACCGTGAAACATGTAGAGGTTGAAGGAAATCTCATGTTTGATAAATGAGGACACAGTACTTTCAACCTCTGCAGAGGGGGAAGAGAAGAAAACAGAGAGAAGTAAAGCTTATAAGGAGACCAAAGTCTTATCAAAATCTTTTCATTCCCAACCCATTCCCACAATCAAATGCTTTGCCTCTCAATATCCACCAAAAGTCCAATCAGAAAGTGAGTGGAATTGACCAGATGCATTCTAGGAGAGCCTGTCCTGTCAAAAATAAGAGCCACTTTGGGCCAGGGATTTAGCTCAGTGGTTCTGGCGCCTGCCTTGCAAGCGCAACTACCCGAGTTCGATCCCTAGTAACCCCTCCACCAAAAAAAGAGTCATTTTTTAAAAAGAAAAATTCTCCAGAATAGTGGCATAATTTGAAGCCAAATTTATATCTATTAAAATAATCAAATAATTATTACATAATTACCTAATTCTCATTCCAATTTTGGAAACCACAAATTATTAGTATGGCTACATTCCTACTTTCCAATATAATGTCTCTGTGGACTCTGGATTATAATTGGATATATATTGGCAGTAGCCCACAAGGGGCAATTCTCAATCTTAACCACAGAAACATTCGTTTGCCACCGATTTTCACAGGCACAACAATCTTTCCACTGTCTGCCACAGGAAACAGGAAGATCAGACTCAATTTGATGTGAGATTCAGTCCCTGGCTGTGCTGTTTACTATTTGCAAGACACAGAAAACTTCCATGTCTTACAAATGTTTTCTCTCCCAAAGTCTCTAGCTCCTTTTCTGTTAAACAAAGGTATCAAATCCTGCTACAGCATGGAATTGATGAGAAAATAAATTGATGGCTTAAAATATGTAAGAATCATGGCTTAATGATCCACAGACAGGTGATCAAAGCAATGTTGTTTGTTGGGGTAGCATTATTGGATTCTTTTGGGTTTTCCTTAGTAATCAAATATTATCAATTGCTTTATTTTATGAAAAGAGAGCTTGTAATCACTACATGAAAATATCTTAGTAGTACTTTTATTAAGCAAAAACACAGGCACGTTCTGACTGGCAGCGTTTGGTTTACAACAACCCTTGGAGGTAGCTTCATGATGATCCTCACTGAGGACTGAAGACACTGAGAAATGCAAGAAACCTGCCCCAGGTCACATGATGCCCACTGCAATGCCAGGATGAAGTCCCAGTCTCTGCCTCCATAATCCAGCTCTCAACCATCACAGGACTGAACTCCTGACAGTGACCATGCTTCATCAGCAATGCCAGAGAAAGGCATTTCCTGCAGGTGATGAAGACTGCAAATGCTCCACTTCTTCAGCCTCTCAGAGTTGCCTCTCCCAAACCTTCTATGGACATCTTCCCTTGTCTGAGCAGCTCTGTCTCCCATCTTAATTCCATCACTGAACCTGTGTGTTTGCTCCCAATTTCTACTAAATATACACTATATACATGGGTTGTTTTACTTTCTGATGATCTGCTGATTCCACTGAATTGTAAGCTCACTGCAGAGTAGGAACCATGTAATTTTTATTCATTAATGCCCCTTCTTAGCCAGGCCAACTGCTCTCATGTGGCAGAAGTTGAATAAGTATTTATGGATACGCAATCAAGCTAATTGGCGTAGAATGATATTGATGATCCATGACTTGGGGAATTCTAAACCTGAAATCAAAACAGCAAAACCCTTACCAAGCACACTTTTGCGAGAGTGGGGACGTCCCCAGTTGTCAAACCAGCCAACCCAGTATTCCATGACTAGAATGGGCTTATTGATCTAGAAAGAAAAAAAAATAAAAATACTAGATCTAACAAAAATAAAGTTAGGATGAAAAGAAAAAAATGAGAAAATGGAAATAAAGTATTTGTAATGGGGAAGGGGGGGGTGAAGGGAGGGCAGGGACAAGGGGAAAAAATGAGAATCAAGACCTGTCATGTAAAGGTACATGATCCCAATGATGAATGTAACTGTGCTGTGTACCTAAAATGTACCAATAAACTCAATGAGAAAAATAATAATAAAGTTAGGAAAATATGACTATAGTAAATAACTTGAAAATGTGGTATTTTCCACCAATTCCCAAATTCAGAACTTTCTATCCAAGCATTACAGCTTCACCATCATCATAAGTGTGGATCCTGCACTCCTGCTCCACATCCAGGGTCTCTGGACTCCTTCAAGCATCATGTGCTTCCCTGGTTTTCTTCAGTAGCAGAATCTGAACCTTCTTTAACCAAGGCTGGCATTGAGAAAATTGGTCCTGGATACACAAGGACCAGTCTGTTTCTTACATAGAAATGGGTTCAGATACCACAGAGCTTGTAGGGACAGAGCCATAACTCAGATGCAGGACTGGAACTAACCATTAGTCACTAAGTTATGTTGTCTGCTCCACACACTGTCATTTCCTCTACACCCTTATTTCACTTTAGTTATCCCACCTGTAGAGTGTCCCTTGTAATTATGCTTCTGTTCATTTCTTCTCTAATTCTAATAGTTGTTATTCTATCTTTTTTGTTAAGAAATAATTTAGTATTAAGAATTCTAAATGTTTGCACTTCTTTAGGGATTTTACTTTTCATTTCTATGAAATAATTATCACATGAAAATTATTAATAAGGTACAAGATCCCAATAATGATTGTAACTGTACTGTACACCTAAAATGTACCAATAAACTCAATGAGGAAAAAATAAAATAAAATAATTAATAAGTAATGAACTTTTACTGAGTGCTGGGCACCAAATGAAGTACATTTACCAATTTATTCTGTTAAGCCCAGAAGAAAGACACTGTGTTACAAATGAAGTCAGGTAACCAGCCCAGGCTCACTCAACTGGGAGGTGCTAAAGCTGGCACTCTGACAAAAAATAACAAATGCTGATGGAGATTAAGACAAAATGAATTCTAATACATTGGCGGTAGAAATATAAACTAGTACAAGCACTGTGGAAACCAGCAGAATGGAAGATCTTCAAAACACCATAAATAGGGCCAGGTATTTAGCTCAGTGACTCCACTGCCTGCCTCACAAACGCAAGGACCCGAGTTCGATCCCAGGTACCAAAAAAAGAAGAAAGAAAAGTAATTCAAAATACCATAAATAAAACCACATATGCTTGTGAATTTCCACGACTGGGTATATGTCCAAAGGAAAAGAAATCAATATTTCAAAGAGATATGAGGATTTCCATGTTTATTGCAGCAGAATTCATAGTGGATGGAATGTAGAATGGGCTGAGATCCCCATCACAGGTGAGTGGAAAAAGAAACTGGTGTATGTATGCTCAAAGTAATATTCTTCAGTCATAGAAAAAAATAAAATCCTGCTATTTGCAGTTACAAAAATTGGAAGGCCTTAGATTAAGTACATATCAGGCACTGACAATAACTGTATGCTCTTACATAAGGAAGATAAAAATATAATGTTATACAAGAAGAGAAGAAAACAGTGGTCACTAGAGGCTAGGAATATAGTGAACAAAAGACAGATACCAAAGTTCAGTTAGACAGAAGAAATAAGTTCTCATGTTCACAGCATAGAAAGGTGACAAGATAGTAAAGAAGAACTTATTGTATATTTTATAAAGAGCTAGAAAAGAAAACCTTGTTACAAACACAAATTGGAAAGTTTAAAGAAGTGAAAACCATAAGTTCTCTTATTTTACCAATATGTTTACACATTTACAGTATCATGTTATGACCCAAAATATGTACAATTGCTTTATCTAAATTATAATTTTAAGTTAGGCCAAACCCAATCTCTCTGGAAAAAATCAATAAATCTGATAGAGTTCTTGCTATACTGACCCAAATTAAAAGAATCACAAAATTTTCAATATCGGGAATGAAAATGAGACCATCACTACTGACATCTAAGACTTTAAATGAATTATCACAAATAACTCCAACCCTGTCAATTTAAAAATGCAGATAAAATTGAGCTACATAAAGGGCCAGGGATTTAGCTCAATGGTGCTGCTGCCTGCTTTGCAGGTAGAAAGACCTGAATTTGGTCCCTGGTACCAAACATTAAAATTAAAAATAACATAAAATAAAATATCAAAAACCCATGAACAAATAACATGAATTTTCCTCTGTTAGAGAAATTGTTTATAGATTAAAATCTTCCAAAGAGAAGAAGTCAGATCTAGATGATTTCACTGATAAAATTTACCAAACATTAAGTAAAAAATGCTAACATACAAACTCTTACAGAAAACAGAAAAAGAGAGAATATTTACAGATTCATTAGATTAGGCCAGGATTATTCTAATTTGAAAATCAATGACATTTCAAGAAAAGAAAAACATAGACCAATATCCCTCAGAAACATAGAAGCAAAAATTCTCAGGAACATATGAACAAACGGAATCCAACAATATATAAAACAACAATTATCACTGTCATGTGAGATTCATCTGAGAATTTCAAGATGGAACCAACATTCAAATTCAAATTTGAAGACAGAATTAACACTCAAAAGCCATATTAACATACAAAAACAGGAATACATTAGGAAAGCTGCATGATGTTTGGGTTTTTATGACAGTAAAACTAAAGTAATTGTGCAAAAGGAACACAGTAATGATTCATGCTACAGCATGCATGAACCTTAAAAACACTGTGCTCTTTGAAAAGAGCCACATGCAAAATAATAGTTATTGTATAATTCCATTTATAGGGAAACCTTGGAGATTGTGTGGGATCAGTTATAGACTGCTATAATGAAGTAAGTATCACAATAAACTTAGTCACACAATTTTCTCTTACCCAGTACATACAAATGTCATGTTAACACTATGCTATATGCTACTAAATGTGCAACAACACTATGTCTAGTATATGTGCTGCCAAAGTGAGCACAACAACATTTTGTCTAAAGAAACACCATATGTAACTTAATCAAAATTCTCCAATGTGTGGACAGGAGTGTAGCTCATGATGTCAAATGAAGCATGCCAGACATGAAAAGCAAATATCATGTGTTCTCACTTATTCATAGAAACTCCAGTGCTGACCCCACAGAAGAATAGAAGGGGACAATAGTTACTACAGACTGAAAAGGACAGGATTAAGGAGGAAGTTAGGTAAGGGACACCAAACACAGTGGAAGGATCAGCTCTAGTTTTGTTTAGCACATAACTACTGGGTATAATTATCTATGAATATTTCAAATAAGTAGAAAAGTATGAGATGGACAGTGTGACACTGGCAAATTCATCCCTAAATGGCTTGGAACCCTGCCAAGAATTAGGGTACAGACAATCTTCTGTCAATCCGGTGTTCACTGAACGCTCATTGTGTAGACTAAGGAAGTCATGGGAGAACAGGAAAAACTACATGGCTAGTATATCCTACCTGTACTTGAAGAAGCTGATGAAAAGAATCCTTCCTAAGTGAATCCAGATTGACAGTAGCCAACACTGTAGAGAGAAGGAGAGAGCACTGAGGCATGGTGACCAGGGCCATTAGGGAAGGGAGGGAGGCCCAGCCCAAACATGGAGGAGGTGTGCTAACGACTAATAATTACCAGGTGCTGCCTGCAACCCGCTTACAATGCATAGAGCACCCTCATGGCTTCACCACATCACCGAGCACCTGCAAGGACACTTATCTGTGCTGAGATGGGCAAAGAAATTTAAATACCTTTGTGCAGAGTCCGGGACCAGGCCAAGCCACCCTAAGTAATTAGAACTAAGAATTGAATGCAGATATCCCAGCCCCAGGCTCCAGATTACACAGTGATGTGGGAAGAGCCACTAAAAATGAAAGGCTATCAGTCCAAAGTAGCTGCTAGTCTGTGCTAAAGATCACCATAGAGATGTTCCCTGGGTCTACCCACCTATTCATACCTCACTATTGTCACTCTGTGATTGTGTGCCCAAGTTTCCAGCTTCTGCACTTTCTAGGATCTAGGCATCTACAGTGAACTTTCCTTATACACCCATCCTCCACTTCCTCCATGTAACTGTTAATGTTGGTGACTAGGGCAGGACCCTAAGCCATGGCCATACCCAAAATTGATTCCTGAACACAGAAGTTGTGACATATGGAAAGACATGTTGTGGATGAGGAGACCACAGTACTGCTCTGCGTAAAGATGACAGCAGCATGGAAAAGGGTGGAGATGATAACTGAACGCAGGCTTTGATATTCTCTCTCACCTTTTGGGATACCAAATGTCTAGGATTATCAGAAGGACCTGGGAAGACAGCCAAAAGGCATGGCCTTGGCTTTCTCTAAGGCTTTCTGTGACTTATACTGGCTAAGAGCTTCAGTTCTGCCCTGAAACAACTTTAAATGTGTACCTCCTTTGATTGAGCCATTCATAACTTCTGCATAATGATCACAGGTCAAGAGCAGCTCTACAATCCCTCTTTTCAGGAGAGCCTGTTGAGAAAGTTACACAAGTTCACCCACTTTTCATGCTCATTTGGGAAGGAAATGAAAGGAAATTAGGACATAAAAAGTGTTGCATTCAGAAAGGCAGGGTATGACTTACAGAGGATCTATGCCTTGGATCCTAAGCAGCCCCCAAAGGTCATGTGGTGAGACTTGTTCGCAGCATGGTGCTCTTGGAGGTAGTGGAACTCTGAGGGGAGGGTTTTGGGGGTACGTTCTGCTATTGAGGCTATGCTCTCTAAGGAGGCTGTGGTCCTCCGATTCCATCCTCTTCCTTTTCACTACAACCAAATTTTGAGAAAAACCTCCACCAGGTTTTTCAACCTGATATACTTCCTCATCATAGGCACAAAAGCCCTGAGGCTGGTGATCATGGACTGAGCCTCCAAGAACTGTAAGCGAGGATGAGCCTTCACTACTTACAAGCAGATGACCTCAGGCAATTGTTAGACTAATTGGAAGCAGATGGAAAGGAGAAGGTAGGAATTCAGAGCCTGACCTATGGGAATGAAGAACAGGGAATCATCACTCTGGCTCAGCCTGGCATGGGTCCTGACTCTCTAACAGCAGCCCAGGGTGTCCTGACACCCAAAGTCATAGCACCCGAACAAAAAGGGAGCAGCTGCCAGGACACATCTTAGGGAAGACTGAAGTCACTCAGAGGGAGCAAGAAGACTTGGGGATCACTTTGTCCATGAAGGAGAGACTGAGCCAATGGGATCCAGAGAACGAGAAGGACAACTTCAGAGAGCAGGGTCCTGCCCGGATACTGTCACAGAGAGCAAGGATACTTTCCAGGGCTGTGAGAGGGAAATAACCTGAGAATCCTAATTGGGACATAGGGGCCAATGGGTGGCCAAAGAGCCAGGGCATCCTCTTGGGTGTCTCTTACGTTCACTGAGACATGTTTAGGCCTGGGAATGGAGTCCAGGAGTAAATTTTTCAAATCAAGGAAAAGCACTCCTATCTGAATGAGACTGAGTGAGGAGGGCACACCAGCCCCTGCATCAAGACAGTAGGACAATTACTCAGGGACTGGCCACATCCAGAAGGCAAAGCCCTAGTGCAGGGCCAGCTCAGCCACAGAGCCCAGCACTGTGGCCTCCCTTCTCCTTGCCCAGCCAGCAGCCCCTCCCTTTCTACCAGGCCCTTCTCTCAAGGTCTCTGTCCAAAGAGTGACACAGGCAGGGCTATGGCTGCATGGGTCACATCAGAACATGGGCCCTGTGTGCTGCCAGGAACCCTCAAACAGGATCCAGTTTGAGCTCATCAGCTCCCTGATATGGGAGGTGAGGCCCTTGGAGGGGCCTGAGCCTCTAGCAAGGACATCAACAGGACCACACCGAATTCCTGGCCTGAGACATCTACACGTGAGGGGCAAAGGGACCAGAGGAAGGGTTTCCTGACTGAAAGCTGCAAGCACACAGCATCCTCACCAGGTTTCAGAAGCATTGTTTACTATGGTGCAGATTCCCCAGCCTCCAGCCTGCTAGTGGTCACAGATATGGGAAACAGAAAGGAATCCTCCTCCTCATTATCAGGTCACTGAGTACATCTCAACTATTCTGATTGCAGTGTGAATTCACAGAGAAATTGAGCCTGCACTCATCCAGCTCTTAATGGGCAGAGCCTGGCAACCGTGCCATGCAGCAGGGATCAGACATGCACCAGGGAGAGGACACAGGAGGTAGAGAACAGTGAGGCAAAGCCAGAGTCCTTACCTCCTTAAGATAGGCCATATAGTGCTTATCCTTATTAAATGACCCGTATTCATTCTCCACTTGCACTGCAATGACAGGGCCACCCTGTTGGTACTGAGAAACAAGCAGATGAAAGTCAGAAAGACGCCACTGGGCAAGAGCCTGGAGCTGTGTAGTTTGTGGCTATCGAAAGCACAGCTAAGCAGTGCACTTGGATCTCAGCCACTCAGAGCCCAGCTCAAGCCATGAGAAGTCAATTTCATTTCCTCTAGATACTTGACATGGCCAGTGTGGAGGTGGAGCCACAGCAAACTCAAAAGACAATAGGAAGAAAGGTCACTGGGCCATACCTGGAGAGGAAGCATTCTGGGAATCAGTTGATCAAAGTACTTATCTACTGCATCCACAAAGCTCTTTTCGGTGGTTCTCAGTTGTGTCTTGGGGTCCTGCAGGAGCCAACTGAGGGTAAGAGGGGGCACATCAGAGTGAGAGACAGAAAGCAGGAGGAAAGACACAGCCAATGGCTGAGCACCACAGACAGCCCCTGTACAGCACTGCTGCACCCATGGTGCTCCAGCCCTTGAGGTCCTGAAGGGACTGCACCCATAAGCTTTGCACACCATCCACACAGACCCACGGTGTTTAGGAGGAAACACACTTCCCTGTCCCAAGGTACTATAGGTCTAGAAGAGCTTTCAGTTCATTTGGTCAAAAGGGTTGAGCCTGGAGGAGTCCTACAGCCACATCCTAGAGGGGCTGAGTCACCATTCTCCAGTTCTGTCCTCCTCTCTCTCAGTCACTAAGCACATGGTCTAAGCAGAGCATCTGTACCTCTGGCACAGGTCACCTGTAAGACCTGAGACTTCAAGCACAGGACAGTGGCTCCCACCACAAGGCCTCTGTGAGGTGGGACCAGGCCTCAGTGCTCAGACCTCACTCCTCTGGGTCAAGTGTCAGCATCATGATGAAGAGGAAGGAGGAACACAGAAGGAAGGGAGGGGCTGGGGCAGGAGGCCCACCCTCAGCAATACAGGAAGATCCTCTTCTATCCCTCTTGTCAGAGGCTTCCTGTATGCTGTCCAGCTTCTGATCTTTCATTCTGCCCCATGGAAAATCAGAAGTGGACACAGCCCTATCTCCATGGGGCAAGAGACTGAGGAAGCTCCTGTCCTCCAGGCCACAGGCCAAGTCACCAAGTCCACACCTCAAGTTCTCATCTGAGCCAGGGGATGACAGCAATACCCACCCACACCACTGCAGGCACCACAGCAAGGTCCTGTGGTACACATCCCAATCACCCCAGAACACCTGCTCAGTCCATTGAAGGTAGCTTTCAACATAACCTAATTGAGATGTCACTCAAGATTCTGCACTTAATCAGGACTCGGGACTCATGGCCTGTCTCACCTGGGCAGGCCCCCGAGGTCGATCTCAGCACAGATGTAGGGCCCTGGGCGCAGAATCACCCACAGCCCAATCTCAGCAGCCAGCAGGACAAAGGCCCTGGAAGGGAAACAGAGTCAGCTGTCTTGTGATGGCCCAGAAAAGAAGCTGTGTGGGAAGGTGGGATACCACAGGCTTCCCATGTATCAGAGCCTTGAGGCTCCTCCCCTCCCCTTCCTTTCTTTTCAGAGAAGACTATGTGATAAGATTCAGCCCAGCCCAGGCGAGCACAGATTCTCTAAACTGGCTCGGAGCTCACAGGCCATGGAACATGGGCTTGCCTGGGCTTCTGGTGTCAGGATCACACATGCAGCGCCATAAGGGCATGGGGAGAAACATCGTCAGACAGAGAAGAGCAGTAATAATAGTGAAACTGACCCCATAACAACCACAGAGAGCAGTCTCCTCCCCACCTCACTGTGGGGCCTTACTGCAAATCAGCAGACTTGTGGGGTCTTGGGCCACAGGTCCAGCCCTGGGAGACAAGTCATTACTGGGAGGCATCATGGCCCTGGATGTACTCATCTCAAGGACAAGGCTGCTGATCCCAGCCCCTCTTTGGGCCTCATGGCACAGCTGATATCCCTAGGGTTCCTCATCAACCTCTGGGTGCTGTCTCTCTACCACACTTGACCCAACCCAGGTCACAGAATAACAACACCACGTACTCCAGGTCCAGGTTCCCAGAGAAGTCCAGTCTGCCTCTTTCAGTTTCATGGAGGTTCCACGGAATGTAGCTGAAAGAGGGAGCAGGGAATTACAATTGAATCTTCCTTCTTTCCTTTAATCTCTGTACCAGGAATAAAGCCAAGCTCCATGCTGTGGTAGCTCTGTGTTGCAAAGAGCTGAAGTTTGCCCTGATTATTAAAGCCCTACTACATGAACAGTGACTATCTTCAGTAGTTCCTTCTTCTGCTCCAAATGACAATTTTCCTAGAGTTCTAGATTCCGTGGGTTTATATGTGTCTTCTCCTATTCACTGCTTCATTCTTGGTTACATATTCTCAGCTAAATACTGAGAAGTCATACAGTAAATTTACAAAGAAAAGGAAAACACAACCAAAATATGTGCTGCATCCCTGTCATTGTTTCTAACAATCAATCAAGATAAAAATAGAGGAGGTGCTCTGCTGAGGACTGGGAGAGATGACACAAGAGGCATGGCCTTTGGCCTCCTCACAGGACTAGGAGTCTGTGGGGTTGAGTCCAAGTGTGGAAGTGGATTTGATTCTGTGTTTAATTAGGTAACCTTCTCTGTGGGTGTCAGAAATACACTTGTGCACTTAACATCCTGCTTCCCATTAGCTCTGTGTTTTTTATTACGCAGTTCTGTGAAGTGAGAGGTTTTGAGGATATGTCTGTTGCATGACTGCAGAACTGACAGATTGTAAGATCTTTTGTTATGAAGTTGAATAAAATGTTGGTTTGCTGAAAACAAGAAACACTGCACCATTTACAGCTATATGCTATGAGAAGAGAATGAATAAAATGACTTATGGAAATTTGCTGAAAACAAAGATATCCAAAAAATACAGATAAGGCAAAATTGCTCCAGCAAAACTAATAGCAGAAAGTGGTTTCTAAAGTGAAGTCACAAATAGTGAATGACCTTAAATGAAAATAAAAGAAATTACCCATGCAGAAAAATATATTATCATGATTTTTTATATTTTTAATAACATGGCTTCAAAAAAAAAAAAGAAAAGCTGACAGATTAAAGATGAAATAAGTAATTAAATTTCACCATCAGAGTAGGATAAATGAAGATACCCTGCTAAGAAACTAAGAAAATCAGCCACAAAAATTACAAGGATATAGATTTCAGCAGTACAATTAAAAGGTGGGATATAATGCATATACTAAGAATTTAGTAATAACAGATGGATCCTTTATATTCTTTGTAAAAACTGCATGGAACAATCACAAAGTATCCATATGCACCAAGGAAATCTCAACAAATTCCAATAATGCTTATCACATTGTCTGTGGTAAATGCAACTAAATCATAAACTGTGTGTTAAAATAAGAAAAAACAAGATGAGTAAAGCAGAAAGTATATCCTGTTTGATTCCCAGCCTCCCCTAAAAATGTAATCATTATTTATGATTAAGTTAAAATAGGTCAATGAAGAAAATACAATAAAATTTATGACATATTTGGTACTAAATGCCTCAAAAGCAGTATAATACAAAATCTATGGGAGTCATCCATAAAAGAAAGGCTGAAATGGGCATTTATATCTCTGAATGAACATTAGAAACCAGAAAGACCTAGAAAGAAAGTGAGCTAAATACACAGCTTGGAAGACAAGAGGAAAAGAAAGAAGAGGAAGGAAGAGGAGAGGAGAGGAGAGGAGAGAAAGAAGAAAAGCAGGAGGAGGAGGAGCAAAAAAAGTAAGAAAACAGATTAAGTCAAATAAAGGAGACAGGAATTTATATGAGGAAAAATTGTAAAACATCAAGCCAAATGTCAGAGATGATTAAAAAGCTACTGAGTAGTTATTTGAAAAAATGGAGAGAAAAATTGGATAAGACTACAGAAGAAAAACGAATGACCCCCCATGTACACAACACAATAAACTTCTAGAAAACATCTACTGTGTACAGGAAACAGTACACAGTTCTAAAACAGTTCTAAAACCCAGTCAATTCAAGGAAAGAAAGGAAAGAAAACTCTATATAAGCGGAAAGTAGCAAATATTCAGGAGAAGTGAAAAACATGACTTCATAATCAATGAGAATGCAAAAATTTTCACTTCAAAACCACAAAATAGCAATCACAGAATTTTATAAGTGAGTTTTTAAAAGCTTTCAATATAAAGTTATTATTATACAAAAATATTTTCAGTAAGTAGAAAAAGATTTACGTATTTACTCTATAAGCTTTTTATGATTGACATAAAAATTGAGAAAGAACATAAATAAAAATTAAATTTTAAATCAATTTCAATTATGATCATAGATGATCATTAAAAAAAAGGCACTGCAGAAATGTAAAGATGATTGAATATCAGGAAAATTGTCCATATTATTCACCACTTCAGAAGGAGAGTGAAGAAAAAGTATGTAATCCTTATAATGGACAAATCTACAAGTCTCAATAGAGCTCAATACTTACGGGAGGAGTGGGGAGTTCAGTGGTGGTGAAAAAGTGCCTTGTGTGCATGAGGCCATGGGTTCTATTCCCAGCCTCCTCTAAGACTACTCAGTCACGTTTCCGATTCAATTATTTGCACATTAGATGAGCCACTTCTCCATTACTACCTCTCAGCTTCAAATCCCACCTGCAATAACACACAGGCCTTCAAAGACTTTACAGTGACCACAGCCTTAGGCTCCACCACCAGAGGACATTGGAGGACATGCAGGAGAAGAGCCTGAACTTCTGCAGTACTCTCTCATTTTTGAGTTCCAGTAGGATGGCTGCTAGTGTTACAGTTGTGTGAGGACAAACTTTGTGCTTCCTTTTTAAAAAAAAAAAAATCAAAATAGCATAAGTATGACCTCAAACAGCCAGTAAAGAATTAACCCAGGAGACAATCTAGAGTTAAACATTTCGGCACTTTAATATACTTAATATACAGTCATAAAATGTTAAATTATGTGCCCCATCACATTTTGCTAATATTTTCCCTGCCCTTTCTCTTTCCTCACTGAGAGTTTAAATTTCACAGGAATGCCCTCAGTTTTTGCTGATGTGAACAATGTGATCTAGTGAGATGTGAGCTAGGCTTGACCATGAACAACAGACCTTTATTGGTGAAAAATATCACCAAGCAAGCTGGGGAGGTAGCTCAATGATCCAGTACTTGCCTTGTATACACACCACCACCAAACAAATATCCTGCATCCTAACATTCTCATGCAAAGAATGTCTAGACCTTACAACAAGACCCTGCAATAGACACAAGGTGCTGTGAGTGCAGCCCTGTGTCTCCAGGGAAGTCTGTAGCTAGGGAAACAGCGAGTGGTGTAACTGCTGCCCTGCAGCCTGGTGAGTTTAGCACAGCTCCGTGATGACTATCTGTGCCTCTGTCACTGTAACTTGGTAAAGTCATCCACAGCCCTTCCCCTGAGTTCCTCATCTGCAGAAGGTAACAGCACAACTCGGTATAAAGGCTTGTCATGGGGTGCGCTGGGGTTGGGGTGCACATGCTGTCAGGCCTTCAGACACAGCATACCTGGCTGCACATAAGCACTACACTGTGCTTATCTGATACAAAAAACTTTTGTAAATAGCAAAACCTACAAAATGTCACAATGTAGAATGGCTTCTGCTGTCTCTAACAGCAGTTTGCTTTGTTGAGTTCAGAATTAACAGATACCAGAGACATTAACCACTGAAGAGGCATTTATTTGGTCTTATCCTGAGATAATGGCACATCAAGACCCTGAGCTCTGCAGTTCTGTAAACCACATGATTGTAAAAGTCTCAAGATGAAAAGAACCATTGTTAACATTTACTTTCATGACCCTAAACACCCTCTTCCTATGGGCTAGGAAAGATAGCTAGTCTTAAAGGTAAACTCCCCTAACTACAAAGAATTGCTACATCTGGGTTGAAAGTTAACTGTCATGATTTGTATATCGGTAATGTGAACTGAGAAAATGAAATGTAACCAGCTGAGTGAGATCAAGGTGTAAAACCCTATAAAAGAAGGAGTTGTAACCCAGTGCATGGTTGATCCCAGACACTGCTTTTAGGTGTGATTGACCTTTGTCAACAAAATAAACTTTCTTATTTTACTTCCATTCTGTGCCTCTCGTGTATCACTTTCCAATTCCTTCCCTAACATATCAAATAACTCAAACTGATTGTGTAGGTCATGGCAGTGCTATTCTGAACTTGGTATCTCTGTCTCTGGCAATGGAAGAGCCATCATTTGCTGTCTCTGCCCTGTCTTGACCCAAACCCCAGGAGATTCGTCAAAGTGAACTGCACACATGCTCCCCCCACCCATTCCACCTTCTCAATGCAGCCTTCTGTATAAGTTTCTCTTGGGTTCCCCCTGTCTGACCCCTATTATTTAGATTCCAGATTTTGTGGAAATTGGATGTTTTGAAGGGAACTCTCCTGCATCTAATTCAAGAAGAGTTTTGTTTTGAGTAGTTTCTACTTGCTAGTTCTATGTGTACAGGCAGGAACCTTCATTGTGCTTGTAGTTTCAGAGATTTGCACGCTCAGAGTTTAGGAGACACACCTACAGCACACACAGGAAGGACTCCACCCCTGTGTGAGAGTGGGCTCTGAACCCACACTGCTTGCACAATGCTGCAGGTCACAAAAACCATGCCACCCTGATCAGCTGAAAGCCTGTGTGCTGGGCGAGGCAGGGGTGCTGCTCTCCCTCTCAGGATAGTCATGGGCACAGGCACTGGGAACATGCTGAGAAAATGCCTGGTGCTCTGTGTGTGCTAGGTGATGCTACCTTTTGTCATTGCTTTCCTAATCATGGTGATTCATGCTCATTCGTATCTAAATTCTCATTGACTAAGGCAGGTTTGTATTGTTTTGGTCACTGCTATTGAGGACATGTTCCTGCCAGGTTTTGTAATAAATAACGCAAAGATTTTAGGTCATTTAGTCATTAAGGCAACTTTCTGAGCAGGATATCTAGATCTGGAATGGAATGTGCAGTTGGAGGCAGAAGGTGGCATAAGGCCAAGTCTTTATGTGACTTTATGTGACTCTAAATCTAAATAGGTCTCAGGCATTTCTGAGCTGTGTTCATTACCCACAAGTTCAGTCATGTTAGTCTTTTCCACTGAGTGACATTGGTATTTTATTTATATTAGTGTTCTTTTTTCTTTCTCTTTTTTTTTTTTTGAGACAGGGACTTACTCTGTAGACTAGGCTGGCCTTGAACTCACTATTCCACCCATGCTGGCCTTAAACTCAAGGCAACCCCCGTGCCTCAGCCTTCCAAGTGTTGGGATTACAGGCATGCACCACCATGCCCAACTGTCAGTGTTCATTTTTATACAGGAGTCATTTCTCCATGCACACATATGAAAGTTGGTTTTCAGGTGTGTGTGTGTGTGTGTGTGTGTGTGTGTGTGTGTGTGTGTGTGTGTGTGTGTGTGTGTGTGTGTGTGTGTGTGTGTGTGTGTGTGTGTGTGTGTGTGTGTGTGTGTGTGTGTGTGTGTGTGTGTGTGTGTGTGTGTCAGAGTGCTTATCTGAGAGTATGCTCTGAGCAAGTCATTCAGTGCAGTGCTCCTGAGGAACCAACTCCCTCACCACATATCACTGAGAAATCACCCTTTCCCTTTACATTCATCCCATTCACATCTCATCAAGCTCTGAGTACAGAGCAACCAAGCACTGTTGAAAATCAGCTGGACACTGAAGCACAAAGTGCCTGTACTGGATGAGATCTGCACAGGCCCTCATGCTGCCCTCAGGCCAGAGAGAACTGGCTCTGGGGCAGGAGCCCAACCAGGAGCCAGTGGGAAAGTAGGCCATGGAGGCTAGGCCAGCACTCACGTGGTGACAGTGTTGAAGCCACAAGCCTTCAGCTTCAGCAGGCGGTCCCTCCAGTACTGCCTGGGCACCCGGAAGTAGTGGATGGAACCCCCAAAGATCAGGAACTTGTGCCCCTCCAGGGTGAAGTGTGCTCTGCCCGTAGTAGTGCTGGCAGTGCGGAGCCCCAAAGATCTGTGCTGCAGCCTGGGAGGGGTCAGGGAGGACCAGTTAAACCTGGATTGGAGAAGGAGATAATGGCAGATAAGTTGAGTGGGAAAACTGCCATGCCCCAATGGAAGGCCATGTCCTTGTTGGCAAGACGTGCCCAACCACACAACCAGGGCATAGTGCTTTGTCCAGGGCAGGAGACAGCCACCTCCCAAAGGCAAACCTGGACAGAGGCACCTTCGCATTTCCAGACTTAAGATTCCCTTTAGCCCCAAACTGCGTGGCAAGATGGGGTAAGATGAGTGGCAGGAAACAGACACCCAGGATGCCCTTCCAGGAGACACACAGGCTGCAAGGAGAAAAGGACAGTGGTGACAAGGCGAGACACAGCTACACAAACTGCCAGGACAGGAAGCTGTCCCATAATCCCCTAGAAGCCAGAATCCTCGGGACTGCATTTATATCTTCTCCTAGAGAAACTTGGGAGGCGCAGCAGCCCCAACTGGGTCCTCCCAGGTCCCCATACAAGCTGTTGCAGTGAGCAGGACAGGGCTGACCTTGGGGTGGGTCCATGACAGGTAGGGCAGTCCATCCAGAGTCCAGGAGGCATTCACACTTGAGTTTATTGTGGGGCTCACTGTGCAGACCCTTGGGGGGAAAATGAAGGTGGTGTCTGTAGCAGCAGATCTGGGGAGAGGAGGCTGAAGGAGATGAAGAGGAGAGGCTCTTGCAGTCTGAGGACCACAGGCACCTTGTCCATGTGTGTTCCCAGGGCAGAGACCACGTGCATGGGTACCACCCACTGACCTGCAGGCCCTGAGAAGGTCTAGAAGCACTGAGCACGCCCGGGTGATGGAGGAAGGAGGGCTAGGGAAGGGCAGAGCCCTCGGGCTGGGGACGGACTGGTCAGAATCAGGAGTCACCTGGGGTGGTTCATTGTGCCCATGGCCTACGGCCAGTGAGCAGAGGTCCCACGCAGCTGTCTTGCTCTGGCAGCCAAGGATGCTGTGCAGTAGGCGACTCTGGCCCAGCCACTTGGCTCCAGTTCACCCCTCCTGGATATTGTGGCAATGTTCTTCCTGAGACACAGGATCCTGGGTCTGACCCACAGTGCCACCTTTTTCCTTTCCTCTATAGAACTCTTCTGGTTCAGGGCCTGCCTGGCAGTGCCTGGGGAGGCTATTGCCTCTTACCCAAGCGCAGCAGAGCCAGAGATCAAAGTCCCCACCAAGAGTCTGGATGCAGAGCCTTTCAGTTCTGGGAAGTGAAAAGGGGTGATCCTGGGTTATATCCTGGCCTTGGGTTTGCTCATCTAAGTGTCACAGCCAACTGGCAAGAACAGTGAGATCAGTGGGTGGGAAGGAGAGAAGAGGAGAAGCGAACCACGGTGTTCTCGAGAGCAAGAAGTCTGGATTCCAAAGTTTCCAGAGGCTAAAAACTAACAATAGATGAGTCATGGGCACAATTGCATAGTTTCAAAAGGATGAGGAAAGGCCAAAATAAAGATTTCACTGAGTGTGATGAAGTAGATGATCTTAGCCCTAAACTTAAGTTTTGAAGAACCTTCATACTGTTTCATACAGCCACATACTAATTTACATTCCCACTAATAGGGTGGTAGTTTTCCCTTGTATCCACACCTTTGCTGTTCTCTTTTGTCTTCCTCATAATAGCCATGTAACTGTGCTGAAATTGTACCACATTGTGGTTTTGATTTACACTTTGCATGTCTACTTTTGAGACATATCAGTTTAGGATGCTACTTTAAAATTTTCTCTGAGTGCCCACACTCCATTCTCAAGCATGTCCTAAAATCTCTGCCTAATAAACCCATCCTGTGCCTCTCACTGACAAGTCCTGAAAATTCTTTTTCCTCTATGGTAGTCAGCAAAGCTCCAAACATTCTGTGTTTTGGGTGGGTCTTAGTCCCCCTAATCTCAGCTTCGGGAACCTCTCAGACCCAGCCAGGTGATGTTTTCTCTTGGCAAGTCAGCCGGGTGATAAAAAGAGGCATCAGGAGAGTGATTTTGCTAAGTCCAGCCAAAGACTTTTCTTTCCCACTTCCCTCAGCCCCTTGCCCTCTGAAACATAGGTTATCTCTTTTCCTCTTTTCTCTCTCTCTCTCTCTCCCTGTATACAAACATCTACAACCTTAGGTTGTTTGTTTTCAGGAGTTAGAAGCTTCCAAAGTCCTTAGAAAATGAGTAGTTACACATAAAAGCACCAAAGACAAGAGGCACTGGGAGCTGGGGATTTGGCTCAGTAATTCCGCCACCTGCCTAGCAAGCAAAAGGGCCGGAGTTTGTGGCTTCCTCTACTCATAAATGGGAAGAGGGTTAGGGGTATCCTCTAGGATGGAAAGCAGCCTCATAAGTGCTTCCACAAGTCAGCATAACCCATTCCTGGGTCAGATGGAACTTAAATTTGCTCACCAAATAGGTTATCTCTTTCTCTTTTCTCTCTCTCTCTCTCTCCCTGTATACAAACATCTACAACCTTAGGTTGTTTGTTTTCAGGAGTTAGAAGCTTCCAAAGTCCTTAGAAAATGAGTAGTTACACATAAAAGCACCAAAGACAAGAGGCACTGGGAGCTGGGGATTTGGCTCAGTAATTCCGCCACCTGCCTAGCAAGCAAAAGGGCCGGAGTTTGTGGCTTCCTCTACTCATAAATGGGAAGAGGGTTAGGGGTATCCTCTAGGATGGAAAGCAGCCTCATAAGTGAGAAGCTTCCAAAGTCCTTAGAAAATGAGTAGTTACACATAAAAGCACCAAAGACAAGAGGCACTGGGAGCTGGGGATTTGGCTCAGTAATTCCGCCACCTGCCTAGCAAGCAAAAGGGCCGGAGTTTGTGGCTTCCTCTACTCATAAATGGGAAGAGGGTTAGGGGTATCCTCTAGGATGGAAAGCAGCCTCATAAGTGCTTCCACAAGTCAGCATAACCCATTCCTGGGTCAGATGGAACTTAAATTTGCTCACCAAGGATAAAAAATAAATCTGATCAGAAGGTTTTTCTTTTTTGCTATTGAGTTTTGAGTTCCTTACATATTTTGAACATTAATCTCCTATCAGATGTATAATTTACTAATATTTTCTCCCATTCTTTACATTGTCTCTTACTCTGTTGTTTATTTTGCTATGCAGAAGCTTTTTAATTTGATGTAGTCTCATTTGTTTATTTTTACATTTGTTTTGTAGGCATTGGGGTTAATGTACTACTTTCATCTGATGGTTATTTTATTTCATCCCTTGAAAAATACCATGCCATGTCCTTCTGGCCTCTGTACAATATATTAGTAGCACAAAAAAGAGAATGGAAATGAGGTACAGAGACGATTGATAACAGCTTCATGTATCTTTCTAAACATGACTCAAACAATTGGCTCTTTGTGAAAGGCTAAGATTCAGTTACCTGTTACAAGATTCAGTTACCCCTTCCCCCCTAGAACAAAAGGAGTAGATAACTCTATTTTTATATATCAACTCAGTGTGTACAAAGATACCTTTAGGCCAAACTTAAAATATGTACAGAGGTTTCTCTAAGCAAACTTAATTTAATTAAACAACTTCCCACTAATTTGACCAAAGATTTGGTCAGTAATATCACACTCTTGTCACTCTCATAAATGAACTTATTTGGCCTCAAAACCTGACAGAAACAGTAGAGCAGTAACTTTTGTAAATTGGAAAGAGGAAATGGAGTATGAACATCCCTAACTAGTTCTTGTCAGGTTACTTCAGGCTACTTGGGGGGGGGAGAAAAAGGGTGAAAACAGACAATTTCTTTATGCTAACTTGGGTAGATGGGAACATCTGCTTTTCAGGAAAAGAGATGGTCTGTTGGGGAGCTGCTTTCTTAAATTTCACTTTGATGATGTGACAATATACATAACTCCATTTTGTTTGGACTGGTCTTGCAGGAATTCAATCTGAAACAATGACAACATCTCCCTTAACTTTTAAAGTTATCTTCCCCCTTTTTGGTGGGGTTCTCTCCATGGGAGTACAGCCACAGGGTAGGGTATTTGAGCTACTCTCAGTGACCATCATTCTGAATTCCTGGTCTCAACACATCAACTCAAAGCTTATGCTATCATCACACCATATTTAATTTTTTGTGTGAATTTTTTTTCGTGTTTTTGTCATTTCAGTTGAAGAGAGACCATTTGACACTCTATGGATGACTGCATACAGACATTTAAAATTTTTGAGAGAATAATGCACACCGGGGAGATTACTGTTATGACTAGTAAAAAAAAATAATACCAAGAGTTTGGCATATACTCTTTAGCTGGGGTCACCATGAACCAAACCAGCTAGAGTCAGTCTAAAGGAAGAACAAGTTAAAGAGACTCTGCTGGTTTCAACCAAGCAGCCTGTTCCTAGATTCCTTGTAACAGTGTCTGTCTAACACCTGACACATTTTCTTCCATGTGCAACAAGCACTGTGGGCACCCAAACCAAATCATTCCTGTTCAACCAGCGGGTGATTTTTAGTGACTCTGTTATCTAGAACAACTTTAGCAAGAGGATTTGTTTGAGTGCATTTCTTAACCAAAGCTTTTGCAGGACAGTCTGCTATACAGCTTGTGATTATTTGGGATAAGCATCTAATCACTGTCTCACTTATATTTACTCCAAACAACAGGGGCAAAAAAAAGGCCCAACAATGATCATCCCAAAGAGCTAATACTCCCAGCCATGTTCTCTTTAATCTATGAGGTGGGTTAAGAGAAGTAAACAAATGTTCTGTGCTTGACTGTGAAACAACAAAGATATCACTAAAAATCCTAGCCCAGTAGTACAGTGCGTATGGTTCAGTGGTAGCATGTGAAAGACCTGTATTTCAATCCGCAACAGCACAAAAAAAATTGATTAATTAAAAAGTAAATTCCTAGCCCACATTGGTCTTTCATCTTTGATGCATTAAGAACCGGTTATAAAAAAAAGAAAAGAAAAAAAGACTGAAGTTATCCACACATACAGCCGACCATGAGAGGTCAGCAAATAAGTGATTACGGGGTTTGGAAATGCCATAGTACTGTCACATAAGTCAGTTTATAACTGTTTGGGGCTTTAGCTGCAACCTGTCTTGTAATAGATTCATTGGTCCTCATTCTTATATCTTATGATAAGGCCAAATGGATTTAGAAATTTCACCACTGTACAATTTGAGTAACCATTATGTAGGGATGTTGCTAAAGTTGCCCAGTGGGTGGGTTGAAGCAACCCTGCAGTAGTGTAAAGAACTGTATATGGCATGATAAATCCAGGGCCCCACCAAGTTAACTGAAGAAGGAACTGACTGAAATTACAATGACCGCATTATCCTGTGAAGCAAAGTGGTAGGCAAAAGCAAGGAAAAATTAAGAGATGTTAGAGTTTCCTGATAGCACAGAAGTTTTAATTCATGATGTTGGGAAATCTGTCCATATCTAGGGTGCATTCTGCTCCTATGAAGCACTTTCTCTGGTCAGCTTTATCTTCAGCTAAAAATGTGTATAAAGTTGCAAGAGTTTGGCCAGGGGGCATTTTGAGTGGAGAGAGATGGATCCAGGGTTTGAGGCCCTGAAGATATGTTGCAATGTGGTGGTTAGATTATGATTTGTCTGTTCTAACAGGGCTCAAGGGAAATCTTTCTCTG